TCTGCACGGCATTTTTCAAATAAAGCAGGCAGAGCAACTCTCATGAAATGGTGTCGAGATGGCAAAGCATAACGCTTGTCCAGAGTATTTATCATTTTTTCCGAATCCTTCGTTCTCAACTGTGCTAATAGGGCGCATGTCTTTGGCTAAAATGTATGCAACGGCATCTGTTATTTTTTGTGCCTTTCTGAGCTGGATGGATATGGAGTTGCACTGAAGAGCGTGTCTTTAATTGATGACTGTGTTGCGGAGGATGTTTGTCCTTCTTTCTGTTTGTCCTTCTTTCTGTTTGTTTATTAGTTGGTCATATGTCGGTCTGTGTTTGAATTTTAAATGGTTGAAAAGATTTGTGGTGTTACCAGCCAGTGCCGACACAACCGCGTAGCAAATCTTGCATGTACTATGTTTTTGATCCATGTCCACTTCTTCGAATGCAAAATGTTCCCAGACAACAGAATTTCTTATACCTTTTTTGTTGGCCAAAGACTTCTGTGGCTGCTCTTTTTCTGCAATCTTCCCTGGCGCTGATTTTTAAATGCAATCAGATACGACATATGCAAGGGGAAGGGCGAAAGCGAAAGTGCAGATGCGCGCATGCAGGCCAAAATAACTTTAAAAAACGGAATAATCATTTTTTTCTCGATTACACCGTTTTTGTGATTGTTGAGCCCCGAAATCGAAATCAAAAATTCGATTAATTGCACAGCCCTACTTCAAGGACAGTCCTACTTGTATTTATTGCATCTCATCCTTCAGATTATTCAACATAGAACTTCAGCCATTTCTTCACATCCTTCAACTGTTTCAGCAATTGATTTCAGGCATTTTCAGGGCAGGGCATTTTCGACAGGAAATGCATTTCTCTAGTTCATTATGCATTCTCCATCAGCTCATCTCCACTGTAGAAGCCATTAGCAGGCATGACAGTGTCAGCTTCATCTGTGCTGAACTGTACAGGTTGACTTTGGATCAGGTATCGAGCAGGGCCCATGGGAATCCCGCAGTGTCTTCCCACTGTGCCTCAGTATGGGAAGAGATTATAAAACCAAGACTGAGAAGGAAAGGTCATGTATAATGTATAGCTTCATCCATACAAGGTCAACATGTATTATTATTTGCTCAAGATAAATTCAGAAAATGTGTTACACAGGAAGCCGGTTTTTAACTAAAGCACTGTCTAGCAAAACCTCTGCAATGCTAAACATAGAAAATACTTGATTTCAACTGGCTGAAGACTAAAAGTGATAGGCTCGAGACAGGACTGAAGGAAAATAAATAAATTTAAACCAGAAGGAACAAGAAGAAACTTCCAGTTCAGTCATGCTGTGTACAGTGACTGTCCCCTTGTTGTCTTACAGATACTGTACATCTGAGTAGTAGCTTGGCACTCTGTTTAATTAAGTTAATCTGAACTGAACCTTGACTCATCAGTTATTGCAAATTAAAGTAGCAAACAGACAATCCAGCTCATGAGGGTGGGGGGGTTGACATTAAAAACACAAAAGTGAGCATGTGAGACTCAACAAAAGCAAATAAATGTGTGATTTAAACACAAAGAGAAACCAGTGTTTGCTGTCATAATTAAATCCACTGAGAACTAATCAGAGAATGGAAAAACAACCAGGATGACTGTCTTTTGCTTTAGATGTTGGACATCTAACTGTAATATAGCATCTTGGAACAAAAACACGGTCTAGCAACTTGAGAGCTATTTCTGCAATCTACAGTACACAGAGTTTCGTCATTACTTTACACAAAGGAATTAACACTTTTAACAGCAGTGGACCTTTATATAAAAACAGTAAGTGAGTTAGTATACAAGGTGAAGCCATCACAACACAAACAGCATCAGCTGATCTTTAACTCTGATAAGTCCTTGTCCTTTTCATCTTAAGGTACCCTGTCTTCTAAAATCTTGCTTTCTACATTGATTAGGCAAATAGGCCTAAACAGCCCTACACTAAAGCAGATTCTTATTCTTTAGCTGAATCTTTCTCCTTGGGGATAAAAATCCTTCCTGCTTTTCTCCATGACTCCAAGCTGCTTCTTCCATGCTACTCTGAAAAACCTCCACAAAAAACTCAACACCTCTGGAGTGTATTTATATAGCTTTTAGGGCATGCCATTAGGCCCAGGGGGTGATCCTGCTCTTGATTATCTAACTACATTTTCCACTTCTCTCAGAGTTGGTGCTTTGGTGTTCATGGGCTGTTCTACTGCCCCAGTGGGGGGCATATCTACTGGCAGACCTAGTTTCCTGTCCCTATCTTTATCTCCATGCATCTTTTCTAAGTAGGGCTCTAGTTCTCTCTTAGGCACCTTCAAGGTGCCACTCATAAATAGTGCCTTGGTGAACTTACAGTATATGGATCCTTATAAAAACCTGCCCTAGCATGTTCCTTTTTCCATCTAGCTTCTCTAAGCCTTTCTACTCTCCTTAGATTTGCCAACCTAGATTTCAGGTCATTTTGCAACATATTGATGCCCTCTCTTTCACTTTCTGTTGCTTTTCTCCACTGCTTTCTAAGCAGTCTTAGTTCTTGAACAAGCCTATCAATCTGCTGCTGCTGCCACCTTGACTTTACCATCTCTACTTGCTGATTTATTTCTGCTAACAAACTCCAAATGTTTGCACTCCGTATTCATAAATTACATCTCCCATTTTTAATAGCATCTTCTCAACTGTACCTTTCAGTGCTTCAAGAGCATCTACTAGATCTGAATTAACTGTTGCCCATATGCCCCTCTTACTAGCCCTAGGCCAATTTACTTTGGGTTTTTGCCCTATGCCCTTCTCTTTCTTTGACTGCCTACTCTCACCACTCTCCTGACTCTGCTGGTCAATGCTGCCTTCTGCTTCATCCTCACTGGTAGGGATGCTGACATCCCGCACTCTTAGGTTACTCACCTGTTGCTGGATTTAAGACATCTGTTGCATTACATTTGTAATGGTAGCAATAAGGAAAGCATATTTTCAAAAAGCATATCTTCCCACTGAGAGATCAAACTCCATGAGGTAGTGCTGGACTTTACCAATAATTATAAACATAACACATACACTTCTCATCTACAACAAACCTAAAAGTGGAAATGGCATGCATCACTGAGGGTGCCAACATACTGCTTCTATAGCTTCATATGTGACCAGCACACCCACCCAATAGAAAGAAACATAACATCAGTTAGAAGTCTGAATAAAAAAAAAAATCTACAAGAAAGCCAAATCCTGCTTGTGAGAGGCAGGCTATTTTTAGGCTTACTCTAGTGAGGGAGATCACTCATCCCTCATGTTTTGGAACACACATGTGGGGAGGGAGGAGGAAGGGGACTCTACTGACAAAACACTGAAAGTGACACAGAGTGTCTGAACATGACGCATCTACTCATCACAGTTACACTTCCCACCATAAGCAATGCCATTAGACACCAAGCTACAACTTTACACAGAAATGGATGAGTCCAAATCCATGATAAGGGCAGAGACACACCAAGCCGACGTGAAAGAGCTAGCAGTGACAAAGGCTGACTTCTGTCTCATCTCACATCGCCTTTGTGTGGGCCAGTTGCGTTGAAAAAGTGACACTTGAACACAGAGCACAGGCTACAGCCAACAGCCAATTTGCACATATGTTACCTACCCGCCAGAAATAACTCCCCCTACCAGCAGGTGACAGTATCTGTATTCGCCATTCAGAAAAGGAAAGAAGAAGAGCTAGAATGCAGAAATACAAACTATAAACAAAACTGTTTAAACTGCTGTTTAAAACTGATTCTAATCAAGAATATGTCTGATAAGAAGTTGCAATTGGTACTGCGATTCTCTGCCCTTGGTCTTTTGGTTATGTAAAAAGAAAGGAGGTTGTAGATGTGAAAAATGGGTGAAATCATGGATACCACGGCGACAGGCTGAACGGGCTTTCCCAAACTGTTCTTTGTTCATACATTGATTCGCTAAGCTGAACAGCCAGTCAAAGTGATCTCTCTCTCACAGACAAGGCCCAACTGACGACGCCGATTCAACATGTCAAATAGGCCAAAAAAGGCGCTGATAGGGACTGAATAGTGCCAACAGTGGGGGACACACGGGGAGGATGAGCACCAACAGATACTCACAAATGGCCAAAAGGTGGCCGATGGCTGACCATTGGCTTGGTGTGTCTCTGCCCTAACATAGATATTATCCAACAACCTGCAAGCTCTAACACAGCTATTTATACACACACAGCATTATGCTTTTTTGCTTTCTGAAGCCCAACTAGGCAAGTAGTTTTATCCAAAGTGAATATTTGAATGCTGTTTGTTCACACAATGATGCAAGTATGTGAGTCTACAATCTCAGTTGGTATCTGTGTTACTCATAACACCATTTACTCTAGGAAATGCCCCACCTCTCCTTCAGAGACACACTGCAGGGCAGACCTGACGTGAATGAAATATTTAACTAGAAGGTGTAAAACATCAGTTACCACACCTCATAACTTCCACAAGAGTGGCTTTACTTGCGATGTTGAGTGCATCACCTTAACCTACAAGTCTATGTAACCATTTATGACCATGGCAACACTGTAATGGGCTACCTTTTATGATCAGTGCCCACATGTTTACATTGCCATTCAAACAGAGCTGACAGAAGACATGAAAGAGAAGGTGGGTCACTACATACACATAAGAACCTTTAACACAGAGAGCTAGCATGTGTCTTTGCGGTTTATGAGAGGCCCGTGTATTGTTTCATGAGAGTATATGTGTTGAGGCTACCGCACGCGACTTGACACACGCGAGTCGTGACCAGCTGAGATGTTATTTAGCATAAGATGAAGATGGAGTTGACTGTATGAAAACCAAGCACACACACAGAGCACTGCCAGACAGCGTGTATCAACTGAGAAACTCACATCCTCGAACAGGGATCCAACGTTGGCTGTCACCAGCAGTATTCCTGTGCCCTGGGCTGCTGTCAGCTTCCCTGCCATAACGCTCTCTCGCAGGTAGGTCGGGGACTTGGACAACGGAGTTTACAGGTAAGAAGCGGAGAAAAGAAACAAACAGAAGCTGCGCGAATGTCTCACGAAACGGGTTAAAGCACTGAGAATTTGAGACTGAAGCCGGGGCTGAGGCGGCTCAGCTGGAGCATATTTTTTCAGCAGTGGCCGTGCATTTACCAGGACTTGATTTGCAGTGGAAGGTCCAGCGGCGGCGGTGCTGCTTCTCGTCCTACTTTTTCACCTTCAAGGCCATCGTAAAAGTTTCTGTTTAATCTACGGTAAATGCCTGAAGGCTCTGGTTCATTTCAGCGACGGGTGTTTCCCTTGCTTTTGTGCAGTGTTTAAGTCTCTCCGCTACAACAGGACTCTCAACCAAGACCATTGCTTTGACTGTGTGGACAGGATAGGCTGGAGTCCCACAGTGCTCTGACGTCACCGTGCCAATGGAAACATTGGGCTGTCTTAAAGGGCCAATGCACTGTAAACATAACAGCTGTGCCTCTAAAGCCACGTTCGTCCATTATCGGACACAACTGGGCTACCCCATAGAGTGTGTTTTCACCTGTATGTTGTCTGCTGGCTAAAATATTCTGTTTTCTGGAATAATTCAATATAACGAGTATGTGTTTACACATCTTTTCTAAATATAAAATGGTCTATTGTGTAACCAGTTTTTAAAAAGTGTAGTTTTCTTCAGGCTATTCTTAATTGCAAAATAAAGCTTTAAGACACAATGTGATTTTTGTTAAGTCTATATTTATATCTTTATAATATGCTCTGATTAGCCTTGACAGTGGAAAATGTGTACGTACACTCTTTGATATAATGATTTTCTATTTAAGTTTTGGGACTTCTTGGAAATGTTCGTATTAAAACAATAGAAATCAAAAGTGTGCATGACCAGATTTTGCCAAGGGTGCTCAGAGACAAAGTCATGTAAAAGGAAATATTGTGACTGAGAATAGATTATATTGGTTTTCCTGGTATCATAAAACCTGATTGTTGACAACAAATTGCTCATCCAGCATAAACTCACCTGTTCACTGACACAAGTAGCCTCATCAAACCTGACTGTTGAGTGCTGTCTTAGGCTGATGAGTACATCTGATTACAGTAAGCAGAGCTCAAATAGATTTTGTTCTCTAAAACATATGCAGGGTAATCAATAAGATGACAATTGCGGTTGTCATCCAAATTACAGGAAGAAAAATAATCAGTGATGATGCTTTCTTTCACTATTCAAGCTTCTGAAACCACCTAGCAGCATGACTCCTCTGCATCACTCACAAATCATCATGTATTAGTTACAGACATGCATTTTACATGACATGATGTGATCTCTCCTGATGACTATTTATTTTGAGGTCAACAGCTTAGAGAAGATATACAGGATGACCTGCTGGATAACAGCGCAATGAGCTCCTTTTCTGAGGAGGACAGATGACATACCAGCAACAGAGTGAGAGCTGACCTTGCTAAGTAAAATGTTCAGGTCTCATCAGTGGTATATTTTAAGAGAATTGTACGTCAAAACATTCAGTAAGTATCCAACTGTGCAAGGACGACAGCAGGAAAGGATGGCAATCCTCAAATGGCAAAAGGTGGGCTCATGCAGCTACAGTATAATGATAACAGCATCTTTGCATGTGTTTGTGTTTTGGGAAGGGGGCCAAGGCCATGGCTCACAAACAGTCTTTAAAGACAGCTGAGAGATTATCTCCAAAATCAGAGCTCACAGCTGTGTGTCTGGCATAGGCAAGTATGTGTGTGCATGGGGAGATAGAGCTTGCGTCTCTGTGACTCCAATGTCATGACTGTGTTTGCATGAGTTTAGTTATTTGATGCCTCACCATGTTCTGTGCATGTGAACATGATATGCCACAGAATATAAATGGGCATTTAGACACATGAAGAAGACAATGATAATACTGAAAATGAAGAAATTGGTGCCTGTGCTGGTGTGTGTGTGTGTGTGTGTGTATTTTGGTCTGTGCACATATACAGTTTTAATTAAAAACAGACTAGACTGCCCTTGAAAATGTGGGGTCGCCACAGCGAATCATCTGTTTCCACCTAAGACTGTCCTTGAAAATAATCCAAATTAAATGTCTTTTTTCCCCCAGAATCTTCTACTCACTACTGCCACTGTAAACAAATTAGCCTACATTAGAGTTGTGCAATCTGTGTGGACTATATTGACCATTCTTAGTCAGACTCATTTTTATCATAAAGTTCATATTTTGTTATGGTAGAAAGTCATGCTGGGTTTGGCTGACTGAGAGTTAATATTTTAGCTCAGACGGAGGCCAAGAGTAGACAAAGCTTAAAAAAAGAATTAATTGGCAGTGTCCATAATAGGCAGAAGAAGGAAGGAAGGAAGGAAAGGGAAGATGGAGGATGAGGGAAACAGAGGATTGAGAGGAGGAAAGTTATGTATATACAGAAGTATAGCTCAGCAAGCCTCCAAAGATAATCTTGAATGAATATTAGGAAATGCCAGAAAGTAGCACAATAATTCTGTGTGTCTTACACAATTTGGTTCTGGAAGCTTGGTGACATATACTGTAAAACCTCATGAGTTAGTTCAACTCAAACCGTTTGAGGAAACTGATTGCCTTGAACCATTTGAGTTAACTCAAACAATGTAAGCATAGAAAAATTCCTAACTAGTCTTAATAGTTAAGGAAACTTTGGTAAATTAGGTTAATAAACCTAATTTCATTCACTTCTTTTAACTCTGTCAAGTATTTTGGACTGATATAAAGCAAAGCTCCCAACTTATTAAACATGAGTAAATCAAATTTATCTCAATTAAGACTAACACATATGGATCTTCTTTATACAAATATTATCACTTACATTTTATTAACTCATTTTTCTTTCACTAAGGAAAATTATTAAAATCAAGTTGTAATAACTTTGATCTTTGTTGTGGTTACTTAAGTCGTTTGAGGAAACTGATTGCCTTAAACCATTTAAGTTGCAATAACACAAAACAAATCATATTTTATTTGTATAGCACCAAATCACAACAAAAGTCATCTCAGGACACTTTATAAAGTAAGGTCTAGACCTTACAGTTATCACTATTTGTTATGGTGGGGTGTCCCTCACTAGGGGGTGAGAGAGAGAATGAGGACTCAAAGTGCAAAACACAGGGCTAGGTGGAAAACAAGTCTTTACGGCCAGAACTGAAGCAGGTGAAGAGGATAAAGTCAATGGGTTATTCATGGTCCAAACCAGGGTTGAGTAGTGGAGGCTGAGAAGACCAGGACGGGCAAGTAAGCAGGAAGGTGAGCAGCAGGAACCAGGATGACAGGTGAGTAGGCAGGAGAGCAGCAGGAACCAGAGGACAGGGCTGGTGAGCAAGGTAGCACTCGCCGTCAGGCAAACAGAGTAGAACTCGCTGTCAGGCAAACAGAGTAACAGTCGCCGTCAGGCAGACAGAGTAAATCACCAGAGATAATCAGGGCAGGAAAGGGAGTTTTTCATCTCCACTGCCAAGTGCTTGCTCAAGGGGGATTTGTTGGGTTTTCCCTCTGTAATAATAGTTTCAGGTCCGCTCGGCACGACCTACCTCTCTTCCCCTTTCTCTCTCCTGTCCTCTCATCCTGCAGGCTCAGCGACACAGCTGAAACACATTCAATCAAGAGTAGGCTTTTTGAGTAGAGGTTTAATTACTGCAAGTTTAAAAGCCTGTGGAACATAACCTGTTAATAGAGAGAGGTTAATCAGATCTAGTATGGATGTGTTGATTAGGGGAAAGACGTCTTTGAGCAGCCTGGTCGGGATGGGGTCCAGGAGCCATGTTGATGATTTAGATGAAGCAATTGTTGAGGTCAACTCAGAGAGATCTATAGGGGAGAAGTAGTCCAAGTATAAATGAGGTCTTACAGATGTTTCTAAAGCCATTGTAGTAGATGGCACATCTGCGAGAGCTGTGGGAGTGGTCCGACCAATTTTTTTCTCTAATAGTTGTGATTTTATTTGTAAAGAAGCTCATGAAGTCATTGCTGCTGAGATCTAAGGGAATGTTAAGCTCAACAGCACTGTGGCTCTTTGTCAGCCTGGCTACAGTGCTGAAAAGAAACCTGGGGTTGTTCTTATTTTCCTCAATCAGTGATGAATAAAATGCGGTTCTGGCACTATGAAGGGCTTTCTTATATGTTATTAAACTATCTTTCCAGGCTGTGAAAAACTCTTCTGACTTAGTGGAGCGCCACCTCCTTTCCATTTTTCGTGATGCCTGCTTTAGGGAGTGGACCTGCGAGCTGTACCACGGGGCTAGTCTCCTCTGTTTCACTGCCTTCTTTTTCAGAGGGGCAATGGTATCAAGTGTATTACGCAGGAAGGCTGCAGTACTATCAACAAGATTATCGATTTGTGTGGGAGTAAAGTTAAGGTGGCCTCCTTCCACTGTGTTGGCAAACGGCACTGAAGTAGATAAAGACGGAATTATTTCCTTAAACTTGGTAACAGCATTGCCAGATAGACATCTGCTGTAGTGGAATTGTTTCCCACATAGAGTATAATCCATTAATGGAAATTCAAAAGTTATTAGAAAATGGTCAGACAGAAGAGGGTTATGGGGAAAAACTATTAAGTGTTCAGTTTCGATGCCATATGTCAGAACAAGATCAAGAGTGTGATTAAAACAGTGAGTGGGTTTATTTACAGTTTGAGAAAAGCCAATTGAGTCTAATAATGAACAGAATGGATTGTTGAGGCTGTCATTGTCAGCACATACAGTACATGAATATTAAAGCTGCCTACCATGATTATCATTTGAAGGTAATGTCTATTTTACACTATGGCCCAGTTGTTACATGATACCATCTCAGAGGTAGCTGAGAGTCTAGGAGAAGATCGTTGGTGACTTTCACCAATGCAGTTTCTGTACTATGATGGGCTCTAAAACCTGACTGAAAATCCTCAAACCAATCATTCTTGTGCAACAGCTTTTTCCAGAAGTTTGCAACAGCTTTTTCAAGGATTTTGGAAATAAATGGGAGATTGGATATTGGTCTATAATTAGCTAGGACACCTGGGTCAAGAGTAGGCTTTTTGAGTAGAGGTTTAATTACTGCAAGTTTAAAAGCCTGTGGAACATAACCTGTTAATAGAGAGAGGTTAATCAGATCTAGTATGGATGTGTTGATTAGGGGAAAGACGTCTTTGAGCAGCCTGGTCGGGATGGGGTCCAGGAGACATGTTGATGATTTAGATGAAGCAATTGCTGAGGTCAACTCAGAGAGATCTATAGGGGAGAAGTAGTCCAAGTATAAATGAGGTCTTAAAGATGTTTCTAAAGCCATTGTAGTAGATGGCACATCTGCGAGAGCTGTGAGAGTGGTCCAACCAATTTTTTCTCTAATAGTTGTGATTTTATTTGTAAAGAAGCTCATGAAGTCATTGCTGCTGAGATCTAAGGTAATGTTAAGCTCAGCAGCACTGTGGCTCTTTGCCAGCCTGGCTACAGTGCAGAAAAGAAACCTGGGGTTGTTCTTATTTTCTTCAATCAGTGATGAATAAAATGCGGTTCTGGCACTACAAAGGGCTTTTTTTATATGTTA